AAGGAGGTTCACTGTTAACCCCGTGGTGCGTGGTTCAAATTGACCAGCAGCTCAGAGGGGGAATGAGGGGCGGGCTCCTGCCACTGGATTTCCTGCCTCTACAAACCTACTGGAGGTAACCATGGAGCGGTTCCCACTCTACAACGCCTACCATCAACGGCTTTTCTCATCTTTTCTTCTTTTTGGTCCCAGAAGATGAAAATTCAAATTATAAAACAAATATCTGTAGATGGTCGTGTGAAAAGTGAGTATGATTTATAAACCTTCAAACTAAAAAAAAAATTCTTTTCAAAAAAACCACAAAACTAGAACCTCAAGAAATTTGAAAACAGTAAAAGACAAAGACAGAGCTATTTGCTAAGAGTTCATCGCCACCTTGTGGGTAACTGTTTAAAAACAACAGCTCAGGAAAACTTGCAGTGGACTTGGGTCTGACTCACAGCCAGGAACCTCCTGCAGATTCTCAGAGACTGTAATCAGGAGCTGGCCCATTTTCCCAAGTTGCAGCTGGTGGATTCAAACTGCCCCCTCCTGGGTTGACAGTGCAACTCAATACCTAGGAAGCCACCAGAGCTCCCCAAAAACCAACATCCTGAGGGGCTGGAGCTGACGCTTGTGATGAATTGGAACCCGATGCCTGGGCCTCACCGGGGGATGTGCATAAACTTCATTCTCCAGTCCTGAAAAACAAAACAACCCACCCAACCAACATCCCAAAATACTTTCTATAGTAATTACCTAAAACCTCCAGCATAGTTAATTTTGAACCAAAAAAAAGTTTTTAAGGTCTGACTCTTAAGACTTGATGACTCAAATGAATGTCCACTGACGAGAATGTCTGCACAGCTGCTTAGAGCTGAAATCTGGAATCAACCTGTCTCCAAACCAGGCGGCTTCCTTAGAAGACAGGACTGACTCCTGGATCCAAAGGGAAGGAGATGCTGTCATCACATGTCATCTTCCTTTTGTGCTTTTAAATCTCCACCTGGCTCTTGAAGCTGCTTCCCTCCAACACCAGAACAAACATGGAATCTCCACCAGTGTTTCTCAAGTACTCCAGGATACTCCCAGACACCATTGGAATACCCCCAGGATACTTCCATGAGACTGTCAGGGTCCCCCCAAGATACCCTCAGGGTATCCCCAGGATGCCTCCATGACACTGTCACAGTCCACCACCACCCCCCCCGGACACCCTCTGAATACCCCCAGAATATTCACAGGATGTGATAAAGGACTTTAGTGATGACACTCTTCATAGGAGAGTTAGGGGAAGATTTGCTCTTTAGCATGCCACTGACTTAACCAAGAAAAAAAAATCCAGAAACAAAAATCGGACAAAGATGCATTAAAAGCAAACCAAAACCATTCCAGAGAAACCCAGGAGTATTTATTTGTTTCGTTGATCACAGGGCGGTAAAAACACAAGGCCACCAAGATTTTTGTGTCTGCTTTATTATATGCAAATCCAGACAGACAGTAAGAATAGCTTCAAACACCAAACATGCTGCACACCTCCCGGCCATCTGAATGGTCCACAGTACATAAAGAGTGAACACTGCTTTCTCTGTGACCTTCCGGACAGTCCCACTGGAGTTCTGTAATCTTGTGTAATCAGTGCGTGGTCATACAGGAAAGAGGAAACAGGTATTGTCTTAACAGCAGGCCTCCGAGTGTCTTTCTGCAGACTTTCTAAGCCCATAACCCATCTCTTCTGTTTTGCAATTACAGAGCAAGGGTAACCTCACCCCAAACTCAAGTTAGTTACGGACCTTCAGCGTGTTTAACCACAAAGCTTGGGGAACAGCCCGACCCGGCAAGCCGTCAGCACTGATCCTGAAGGAGCTCACAGCTTGCATTTCATCACAACTTACCCAGGGACTGATTCGAAGCCGGAAGAACTGAATTATTTTAACATTTTATAAACTCACACTTCCCACCCCCACCCTCTTGGTTTGCTTTCACTCATTTAACACAATGTGTATGTAAACGACTCCCTGAAAATGAGGCACTTCTTGTAGAAAGACAATGACTCACATTTTTAGACTGTCTGGACACTCAGAGGCTTGGTCTCAGCTGAAGAGCTGAGCTCACGAGTCAACTCCCTGTTGTCCACCAGGAAAACGAAGTCTCATCTACAGCATATGGCACGTTAAGAAGTGATCGACGTGTATCGGAAATCAGACAATCATTGTGCTTATGTAAATTCTGTAATAAAACTGAACCCTCCTGATGAGGAGCTCTGAACTCATTGCGATGCCAGTAGTGACCACAGAGGATCCACCTGAGGCAAAGAGTAGCCCAGGCCAGTCTCTTGGTCTGACTTTTAAAACTGACTGCACACGTGGTCATTGGGCCATTTTCCCATCCTGGCCAACGTCACAGCCAACATGAGTTCAATGGGGAGGAACACACTTGGAGGACATTTGCAGCACTGTCTGGAACATTCTGTTGTGATGGTCTTCAGCTCGAAGCTTCAAGGGAAAAGAATTCTCTCCTCACTCACTAGGGACCACCAAGACCACAGGGCCCATCCAGGGAAGGCAGCAGCTCAAGTGTCACTATATCCATCATGCATGTAGCAGCATGCACAGAGGGACAGCAGCCAGAACATGGCCCAAGGCTGCACAGCGAGCTGACACAGGAAAGGTGGTCAGGAAGGGTAGACATGCGCAGGGGGCTCGCTCAGCCCTCGCCAGGAAAAGGCAAGGTAAGAGCAGCCCACCGTTTCCCAGGTCTGTCTACTGAGCACAAAGTTCCGGGGCTTTTAGGGACTAGGACAATGACACCTTCTAGACGTGTGTCTTCTGTTTACATAAAAAAGTGTGAGGTCTTAGTGGACAAGCAAGCTTTCTGAGAAGGCATGTGACGAATAGAGAGGGTAAGAAGAAATCTGTAAAGATCTGGATATAAAGCCCTGGGAGGCAAGGAGACGAGGAAGTCTCCTCCGGCACTCCCTATGATTGTATTCACATTTCCGAAGGGACCTTGCTATCCACCCCTTACACTGTTTCAGTTCCACAGAGTCTTCTCCTGTCACACCATGGGCGTGTAAAGTGACTTGGTGACATCACTCACAGTATGGAAAGTTTATAAAATATTGTACACTTTAAAATTAAAAAAATTGTCAATTAACTAAAATGGCTTTTTAGAAGCGACTAGAAGCATGTGTACAAAAAAGGGGGGAATGATGGTTTGAAGAGGTAACATTAAAAACATTCCATGAAAATCTCCAGTCTATCAAGCAGCAGCAGGCCCCGTCTTTGAGGGGATTCACACTGTCAAGGCACAACTGAGGGGGAAGGAGAAGAACAAAAGCAAAACCTGACTGCCACCGAGTCGCCGCCCCTCCCGGGGACCCTCCACGGCTTTCCCGAGGCAGCGGATCATGCTGTGAGATCCCACAGAACTTTGACAGAGCAGCTGGCAGTTTTGATCTGCTGACATTCTAATTAGGAGTACAACAGGCACTGCACCTCAGAGCTCCTTGGAAGGGCGATGAACAGAGGTCAAGCAAGCATCCAGGCGAGCAGGGACACCCTAGGATCAAATAACGTTGATACACCGTAGTTGTGAAGGCCCTCAAGCCTGAACTGACTCCCAGCGGGCCCTCCAGGGGTCTTCATGGGCTGTAAATTGCCTGGAGACTGCCCACCTTTCCTCCGCAGACCAGCTGGTAGATCTGAATTGTCTGCTTTGGGATGGTAACGCAACTGCTTTACCTACAGGCCACCAGAGCACCCTGTGCATTAATGTTATTCACAATCCTCCCTCCTCTTGGAAATGATTTCTAAAGTTTTCCTTCCAGTCCCCATAGAACAAGGAGTCATTACTTCCTGCTCTTGAAAACAATACCGATCATTATTTTTAACCTATGGTATCAGGAACCAAGTCCCAGATCTGGAACTTTAGAACTGTCACATTCAAAGTGGTTTTGTGTGCTTTTATCCTAGTAGACATAAGCCCTTTGTGGACAAATTCTGAAAAGTGGTTTTCCTGTGGCTCCTCTTTGGAGAAACCTTATCTTCTAGAAAGTCTAATGTGCTACGTGTCTTCCTCTGGTCCCCGCCCAGCAGCAATCCTCACACTTGAACCTACTAACTTGTCAAACAGAAAAACATCTGTGTATTACTTCACCATCAGGTTAGATGAAAAAGGAGGGATGTCACCCACCACCTTCAGGTGTCAAATGTCTTAAGAACAAAACCACCAGGTGGGATTAAGATAGAAAGTGCTGGTGTCCTTTGTTTCGAAATGGCAAGCAGCTGAGTGGTGAAGGACTTCACTGCAGTATTAAAAACTCCCCTGCAACCAAAGTGCGGACGTTCCACTTAGGGTAAAATGAGCAGGAGCTGTGCTTGAACAGCACGCATGGTAGCGGGAGAGGGTGGCCAACAATCAATGTTATTCCAAGTATCAGAGGTGTTCTACGCCACAGAAAACGGCTTGGACTATTCTATGTACTTGGGTGTCATGGAGAATGGGGAAGTGAAGCACCACTAACTTGGACCTACAGAGTCCGGCTGCTGTCTGCAGCTGGAGTAGACTCCTGGCGTGGAGTCCTTGTTCTCCTGTCTACAACACCCAGACAAACATCCAAACCCACTACTATCCAGCTGAATCCAGCTCCGTGTTTCCAGGGCTGTAAACCTTTGCAGGGGAAAACTGCCCAGCTTTCTTCTGCATAGCTGCTGGTGGATTTGAACCTCTCACCTTTCATTAGACACCCTCCATCATCACTACACCAGGACTCCTTTTGACGGCACCTCCTCTGTTGAATGTTTCCCGCGTCTCCCACTGGCTGAGGGGTGTTACTACAGAGAAAGGCTTATTGAAAGACACCTCTCTGCAGAGCACCCAGCTAGGGGCCAGGGAGGGAGAACACAAAGCACTCGTCAACCTGTCAACATCACAAACTTTCTTGACGTTCATAGCACTGTAACTAGTGGAGCTGGAATGCTCCGGAATCGCTGGGTCTCTGCAATGCTCCGTTTTGGATGCTATTTCAATTTGTAGGTGTTTCTCTTGAGGCCATTGGTTTTGGGTTTCTTCTCACTGGACAGGCTGGCCTGGCTGCCATTGCTTATGTTTCCCTTTTTCTTGAGATTCGTGTGTGCTTGGGTTCTAGGGGCTTTACAGGGGTCCACGGAGTCGAGGATCACAGCTGGGGGCCGGGGGACACGCAGGTTCCCGTTGGCGTGAATCCTGGGCCCACTGTCACTGCAGGTCAAGTCCAGGCGTTGCAGCTTGGCACCCTTACTGGCCTTCTTCTTCTTCTCCTCTGTCCTCACCTCCAGGCCCTGCTTCTTTGAGGGCCCCCTACTGCCCCCCAGCCCCTCCACAGGTCTTGGGGAGGTCTGAAATGCGATGTAGGATGGGTGTGAGTCCTCAGGACGCAAGTCTGTCTTTCTTGAAGGGCCTGGCTTGGAAGCCCCTTCCTGGTAAGGTAGTGGCTTGGGCAGAGCGGCAGCAACGAGCTTACTCCTCCCAGGGCTTCTCAGAGTCCAGGAGGCTCCCAGGCCCGGGGGTGGCCTCGCTTTGGCCCCCTTGACCCGCTCCGTGTGCACAGTTTGGATCTGCAGCCATTCGAGTTGGAGCAGCCGGTCGATGTAGCTCCCCAGGGCCCCCCCAGCCCTCGGCACAGCGTCCGGCCTGCCCTCCGAGTTCAGGAGCACGGCCATCTCCTGCAGGTCCCAGGAGTTAAAGGGCGGCGGGAGGAAGTCAGGGTAACAGTAGTTGGGCTTGGCGTGGCCTTGGTCCAGGGAAGGATGAAAGTAAGCAGGGCTGATCTCCTCAGCCCGGAGGCGCAAGTCGGGGGGCGTCAGCGGGGAAGGGGGGATGGGAATCCTCTCGGAGTCAGAGAGGTCACTGGCACTGTCCTCATCACTGTCCTCTTTCAGGATCCTCAGGGACTGAAAGTCCAGAAACAGCCTGCTGGCCGAGGCTCCCTGACATCCGGGCCCAGGGCTCTGCTGCGGCTTCCCCTCTGGGCCTGAGCCTTCCTGAGAATCGTCCTCTGCCTGTTCGGGGGTGTCCACCCGGACGGTCGGCAGCTGGGAAGGAGGGCGAGGGCCTGGGGGCTTGGTCTGCCTTTTTCCTGAAGAATCCTTTAGACGCTGCGCTTTACTCCAACACGGCTCAGCATTCATGTTGCTATGAAAAAAATAATACCATGATCAGGAAATGCCAAAAAACAAAAAAATCCCTACCCAAAAAAGCTCACTTACTGCCCTTCAGAGGACACTTGCCACCCTCCCCGGTGGCTCTGAACCACCCACCTTTCAGGGTGCTCTGGGGGCAAAGGGGGTAAGTAATCCAAAGGTAGGTGGCTTGAATCCACAACTTCTCAGTGGGAGAAAGATGGGCAATCTCTGCCCATGTGACTCACAGCCTCTGACAACCCTCTGGAGGGTCAGCTACGGGTCAGTTCCAACTTGATGGCTCATAACAACCACAAATATAGTAACATAATGTTTATTGCACATACTGTGTTACACCTGTGTACACATGTTGGAATGGCTTAGGTCTTAGCTGCTAAGAGAAAGAGGGGTGGTGTACACTAACCAGTGACCCCAGGGAGAAGGCCGTGGCTGTCTGCGTCCGTAACAGTTACAGACCTCACATCCCCTGGGACAACTGTGCTGTGACCTGAAGAGTCTCTAGGAGTTAAAATGCACTCAGTGGCAACAAGTTTGTTGCTTATTTTTATACTACATTGGCCCAAGATGAATCTGTGGATTCAAATATAAACATTGAAGACAACTATTCACACTGCTCAAAATTTTAAGGCAATTACACAGGCTTTAAAAGGACAGTAGTTTGGAGAAAGTACATCAGAGAACTTTCAATCTGCTCTTAGTGAACTCGTGTGCTGTCGCACTGACCCTGAGTGGGTGAGCCTACGGGACAGAGGGCAGTCTGCACGGCTCTGACCTTCAGGGAAGCAAACGGCCTCATCTCTGCCCCACAGAACTCCCGGTCAGCTCCTGCCAGACAGCATTTGATTAGCGGCCAAGAGATTTAGCCATCACACCAGTCAGGACCTTAGCTCCCAACGACGAGAAGTGTTTAACAACATTACAAAGAAAAGCCAACAGGTGTCTTCTAGGTGATCATTTTAAATTACATGTAAATGAGATGTAAGGAGAAAGCTTAATCACTGACTGGTGATTATAGAATTTAATCACTATTCTGAGCTGCTAACGTCTTAAGGTATAAAATGGCAGCATAGAGAGCTTTAACCCCAAGCTTACTACCTTGCTTTCAAATAGGAAATACATCCCGGAAAAGTGGGGTTTAAAACGGTGGCCATGAAACCATATGGTGCCTTACAACAGTATGATGGAAGAGCAAAACTAATGCTACCTTGTGAATGGAAAGCGAATGGATTAAAGATGACGGTGTGTGTTAGAGTACTCATTAATTGCATTTACCTGCCACTCACAAAGGAACATTCATCCTGTTTTTCCATTGCTGTTGCGTGGGGCTCTCTCTGGTAGCCTAGTGGTAAGGAGTGGTGATGCTAACCAAGGCAGGTAGTTCAAATCCACCAGCTGCTCCTGGGAGAAAGATGGGCAACCTCCTCCCACGTGACTGACCGCCTCTGAAGACCTGCTGGAGGGTTAGCTATGAGTTGGTTCCAACTCAACAGCATAAGACAACAACAACATCCGGCTACAACAAGGAGTCTTGGTGGCACAGTGACTAAGCACTTAAATGGGAACGGAAAGATTGGCATTCAAACCCATCTCCTATCCCACGGGAGATTAGGTGGCATTTGTTCCTGTGCAGCCTGGCGAACCCTCTGGAGCAGCTTTACCCTGCAGCGTCACCATGGGAGCCCCAGTGGTATAGAGTGCTCTCTATAATGGGCTCCTAAGCCCAAGGTGGATGGTTCTAGTCCATCAGGCACAGACAGTGTAGGAGAAAGATGGGCCATCTCATTCTAGAACAGTCTACAGCCTCAGAAAGCCAACAGAGGCTCACCAGGAGTCGGCATAACTTGAAGGCAAGGGGTTTATTTTAGTGTGCGTGATTAGCTAGCAACCAACTCTTTGTGGACCAACCTTCCCATCAGAGCTGTTAAACTGTGGCAACGCTGGCCAGCATGCGTCCATAAAAGGTTAATGATTATCAGCACCCCAGTTATAAAAGGAACGGTCATAAAAGCAGCTCAGTCTAGGTCGGCTACCATGGTTGGAAGTATGACCACTCACCATAAAACCATCTGCCCTGCTCATACTCGCTTGCCATAGAAACAAGGAGTCACTGTTTACCTGCAGGCCTGTGTTTTCCACTGGTGATACACTCGGATGGGGTCTGGAGAATGGCACGAGCTTGTCTTTACAAGATAATGCAATTATATGACATTAAAAAACAAAACCAGGAACACAAATAACAAAAGACCACTTTACCTGCTGGTCTGAGGGGACTCGTTCACCCTACTCCCTTTCTTGAAATAAACACGGGGCGGGCCATCATCTAGGGCTGGATGGACTAGCTGAAAGACAGACGTGACAGTGAGTAGTGGGAGGCATGTCTGCAGCCCAACAAACCAAAAAGCAGAAGAAATGCAGGCAAGCTTCCCCTCCAAGCTTACACCACCTCTTCTCTGGTGCTCGGAAGATTCTTGCTCAAGCGGCAGGAGAATGAGGACAGCTGGGGAAGTGGTTTCTTTGCTCGGCTTATGTTTGGAAGGATTCCTCACGGCTGGGAGCGGAAGGTCTGAACACCAGCATCAAGTCAGGTTTTCACTTGACTTTTAACATCTGCAGAGTAGAGTGTGGAAACATGTCGGGTGTGGGGGTCACAGCCTTATGCTTATAATCTAGCTTATTCAGGTGACTCGTTATTTTTTTTACAAGATCGCAACAATAAATGCCACAAATGGGTTCTCTTTCCCCCTTACCCATCCATACATCTGGTCTAAATGTTCGTTACCTGTTAGTGGATTCGGACTCCTTGAAACCATACGTGTGCAGAGGAGATTTACCCCACAGGGTTCAAAGGGCACAACTGTTCAAAACCAGAATGCCAGGCCCTACCTCCGAGAAGTTAGTAGCCCAGCACTTAACTGTCTGCATCACTACTCTGCAAATATTACCCTGAAGGCCAGCATGAAGTTAATTAGCTCTCAGCCACAGCCACAGGCCCAGTTCTTTCACTCCGTTGATGAGTCTGAAGAGCTGAGGGCTCTGTGGGGCTCCTCCCCACCCTTCCGTTCACACCCCCGTCCTGAGAGGCACACGCATCCCAAGCTCTGCTCTGACAGCCTGTCAGCACAAGTCACAGAAAGCTGGGACTCCCTCTCTGTCTGAGGGGTCTCTGCACAGTCCTGACCTGGAGTAGAGACCACCCAGGCCTGTAATCCCTGGCTCTGTAACACAGAACGCAGCCAGGGATTGAGATTTTCATCTCGTTCCTGCATAAGGTTCTCCCCTACAAGCATGCAAGCAGATGACGTGTTATGCTAATAAAAAACCTACTTCTGGGCTTTCGGTTAACACATGATGCAGGGTTGCTTTTAGAAACAGGAAGTATTTTTCCACCAATCCCTCGCAGACTGAGGTCTGGCCTCCTTTTTGCTTCGTCCCTCCCATTGGTAGGTTAGAAGCCAGACCCCACCCCGCCCCCCAGGCTTCTGCTTCTTGCATCTGATCTCACCTGCTGAGCTTTGGTGTGTACGGTGTGTTGTACACACACGTCAGTAAGGAGGAAAGGAGGATTGCCTGGGGGTCCTAAGGCTGCAGGAGGCCAGCTCCCAGTCTCCCTGGTGGCTCGACTGCGTGGGACAGAGCCACAAGCCCACAGACTGGCCATGAAAACATGCCCAAACAGGAGCCTGCTCCAGGCTGCTGCACATTTGACACCAGGCATAAATCATGCTCCTGCATCTTCCTCTCTGGCTCTGTGCCGACAGCAACACAGCGCCTCCCCCTCCCCAACTCAAGAGAACTGGCTACCCATCCTGGCGGCAGCAAAGCATTGTGGGTGGCCCACGGACATGACGCTTCTTTAGGCTGCCAGCCTCTCTCGGGGCGGGCCAGGGTCCAGGTTGCAGCCTGCATGTCCAAGGAGCTCACTAGCCTAGATACATAATATTACCCCATTGCCAAGACACTGGAAAGGACGCTTTCAGGTCCACATCCGCCCTCCTACACCCTCCCCCCATCCCCGAACCCCAGGAGCAGCGGCGGGCGTCCAGCCCCCGCAGACGCACAAACAGGGTTCAGACCTGCCTCGCCAGCGCCAAGGGCACGCGCCGCGCCGCCCGCCTCGGTCCTGCGGCCCCGGCTGGAGCCGGCCTGTGGCGAGGCGCGCGGGGCTCCCCGGCTGCGCTCA